TTGTTCTCGAGTGTGGGTCTCTTGTTACAGCCGTTGTGTCTGTAGGCTCTCTATGGGGATTGATCACGTCCCAATCATTGTGTCTACCAGAGGAGCACCTGGCAGTGCCAGTAATTGTGATTCATCTGTGGTGGAAAACCACTCAGCCTGTTTATAGCCTACTTCAGGACCTTGTGTTGGACGATGCTATTGCATACCTTCAAGGAGCCATGCTAGAGATAGGCTCACATTCATTTCACCTTTCTAGAAGCTTCTCCCATTTGTGACCCCGTGTCCCATGATGGACAGATGAGTGTTTCCAGACATTGAAGGTACACCGACAGGCATAGACACAGTGGCAGCACTGACCTTCAAGGGCTCTGCAGTTAGCCTACTGAAGGGTAGTTGCTTTGTGTTGGAGAACCCTTCTCCATGCAAAGCTTGCATCATGGGCTTCTTTCTATATTCTCTCCTTTTGCACCTCTGCTAGTCAAGCATGGGATTTCTTTCATTTTATGTTAAGATCATGGACAGTAAGCTATTTTTCTGTGCTGGAGGATGGTGCAACACCACTTTTGCCTCTTCATAAAATGGAGTTGTTCACCGATTTCTTTGGGGCCTGCATTTGCTCTTCCTTCTCTTCTACCTTCTAAGGTGATCAGATGGTGTCCTCTGCCTCCTACAGTGCTCAAATTTGATTGCCAGGTGCTGGCATCTCTTCAGTCCCCATGAAGCGCAGTGGGCACTCTTCCCAGCTTTCCTCATGCTTGTCTCCTGGAGAGGATACCACCCCTGTTATACTTGCTCCATCTACCTCCTTCTTGTATTGATGCCATTCTGATGGTTTTCAGTGCCAGTTGGTCTGAGGGTGTTTTCCCCAAAGTGTGGAAGCACTCATTACTGGCCCTGATTCTGAAACATGGCAAAGATGCTACTCAACCAGGCTCTTACTGGCCCATTGCCTTATTGCCTCACTTGAGTAAGGTGTTGGAATGACTGGTGGCTGCCCATCTCTCATGGTGCATTGAAAAACACAACCTCTTGCCTGAAAACCAGAGTGGCTTTCACGATGACTGCTCCACCCTTTGCTTCAGTTTATGCGGTTGGCACTTATTTCATTTGAAAGTTGGGTCATTCTTTTGGCAGCCTTTTTGGACCTGCAGGGAGCATTTGACTCGGCATCTCATACGGCGATTCTTTTTAAGCTGACCTGCATGGGGCTGGCTGGGGCTCCCCCCCATTAGTTATGCAACTTTTTGCAAGGGAGGACCTTCCGGATTACAGTTGGTGGCATGATGTCCTCACCCTGTCCCATATGCTGGGGAATGCCCCAGAGAGCCATTCTAAGCCCATTATTTTTTCTGTATGAATGTCGGATCTCCCTTCTATTCAGGGCACACATACTCTGGTGTATGTGGATGACATGGCCCTTATGTACACCACTTCCTGCTGGTGGCACAGAAAAACTCCAGAATGCCCTACAGTGCATAATGTCATGGGCTTCCACTCGAGGTTTGGAGGTCAGTGCTCCCAAGTCTTGGCTCTTGTGCTTTACTAGGTGGTGCCCCTCCTCCCTTCTGTCTGTTTCACTGGGTCAGGCACCAATCCCACTGGTCTCCTCTCATCAGTGGTTGGGTGTCACCTTTGATGCCTCACTCTTGACATGGAGGAAGCAATGGCCCTCCACCTCCTGTGCACACTGTAATGTACTTATGTGCTGGATCTCTGGCACTAAGTGGCAGCAGATCGAGACCTCCTTTTTTTATTTTATGTGGCTATGGATCACAGCAAGCTTGCCTATGAAAGTGAGGTATATGGCTCGGCCTCTCCCTTCTCTCAGGACATTCTCCAGAATTCGGCCGTCCACAGTATGCTGGGAACATTTCCCTCCACCCCCATTGTAGCTTTGGAAGTAGAGTCTGGGATAGTCTCCCTCTCATCAGTGAGAATGTCAAGGGACTGCTTGTGACTCCATCATATGGCCTCTTTGCCTTGTACTCACAACTACTGCCTCTCCACAGGTGTGGGCAGCATTCTCTGTTTCCCCACATCTGACTCAACCTTCCTTCATGGTCCAGGCCTGACATTCCCTGACTTACCTCTCACTCCCTGCGCCAGTGATGACTCCTTCTCTCTCCACTCCCCGGTGCCTTCTTGGATAGATCTAGAAAGAAAAATCCACCTAGACTGACCATGCAGAAGCAGGGAAACTCCTCAGATGACAGCATTTCTCTTTTAAGAGTTTTGCACTCTCATGTATGGCTCTTCATTCTCCACCTACATGGATGGCTCAGCACATATTTCCCTTCCTCCTACGTCTTCATCTGCTTTCTTCGCTGATCTTTCTCTATGTCAGACCTGGCAGTTAGACCCCTCTCACTTGGTCCTAGCAGGGGAACTCTTTGCCATTCACCAGGCTTTAATTTTCATTCTTTCTCACCTTCCTCCTCAGCCTGTGGTTCTCTTCTCTGATTCCCAATCTTCCTTGGCACCTCTGCCCATCCACGGTCCCTCTGTTTCCTCATCTGACAGACGCAGCTGCTTCTTTTGCACTTCTTGCGAAGTCCGGGTTGGAGCATCTCCTTTCAGTGGGTACCAGCTCATGTTGGTATTTGGGGCAGTGAAGTGGCTGATTGACCAGCCTTTCTCGTGCACAGACTCTCTACTATTACCCCTTTTGCATTAGGCTGCAGTGATTTCACAAAGGCTGTTTGGAGGTAAATCCACCGTTTATGGCAGGGGGATCTGGCACTCTCCCTCTCTTCTTTGGCATTGAGCTTAGTCCGATCTTTCAATGGCCACTGCACTTGGGCTCGCCATCCCAGTTGCTCAGTGGATGTTGCACTAACTCACCTCTGGGTTGGGCATTCACAGTTGGCAGCTCATCAGCACTGCCTTTGGATGACAAACTCTCCATACTGCCCATGGTGTCTCTGACATCCTGAAACGGTGAAGCACTTCCTACTGTGGTGCCCCCATTACCACTGCACGGACTCTCCTCTGTACGGCCTTGCACACATTCGGGGTGTAGTCTTTGACCCTGCCTCTCCTCAGTGGGGAGGGGTTTGACCCTCCAGACCATCAGGAGATCCTGACCTGTACCTGCACCTTCTTGCTGGCTGCAGGACTCATTAGAGACATTTAGTACACACAGTTATTAGTCTTCTAGGTAGTAGGCTGGTAGACAGCAACCACCCAGGGAGGTACTACCGTCCTGCCAAGTGAGTGTAAAATGAAAGCCTGTAATTGTTTTACATGATGGTAGGATTGCTGGTGTCTTTTGTCTGTCTCATAAATATGCAAGATTACAGGTAAGTCTTGCTACTTCTACTTACACTTAGGTCACACTACACATACATGTACAAGCATATATATACACACCCCTCTGGGTTTTCTTCTATTTTCTTTCTAATTCTTGTTCTTGTTTATTTCCTCTTATCTCCATGGGGAAGTGGAATAGAATTCTTCCTCTGTAAGCCATGCGTGTCGTAAGAGGCGACTAAAATGCCGGGAGCAAGGGGCTAGTAACCCCTTCTCCTGTATATATTACTAAATTTAAAAGGAGAAACTTCAGTTTTTTCTTTTGGGCCACCCTACCTCAGTGGGATACGGCTGGTACGTTGAAAGAAAGAAGTTATTAGTCTTCTAGGTAGTAGGCTGGTAGACAGCAACCACCCAGGGAGGTACTACCGTCCTGCCAAGTGAGTGTAAAATGAAAGCCTGTAATTGTTTTACATGATGGTAGGATTGCTGGTGTCCATTTTTCTGTCTCATGAGCATGCAAGATTTCAGGTATGTCTTGCTACTTCTACTTACACTTAGGTCACACTACACATACATGTACAAGCATATATATACATACATACCCCTCTGGGTTTTCTTCTATTTTCTTTCTAGTTCTTGTTCTTGTTTATTTCCTCTTATCTCCATGGGGAAGTGGAACAAAATTCTTCCTCCATAAGCCATGTGTGTCGTAAGAGGCGACTAAAATGCCGGGAGCAAGGGGCTAGTAACCCCTTCTCCTGTATATATTACTAAATGTAAAAGGAGAAACTTTCATTTTTCCTTTTAGGCCACCCCGCTTCGGTGGGATACGACCGGTGTGTTGAAAGAAAGAAAGAAGTGATTAGTCTACCTCCTTCCGCTTTGATCGAGGTTTCTTTTCCAGGCACTGGAAGACAGGGCTCAATATGGCATACGCTGTCAGTGGCCTCATAAACCCCATCAACAACACACCTACAGCCCCATGCCCACATGCCCACCCCTTACCCATGCCTTAGTGGCCCACACACCTAGTCACATACTCACCCATCACCTTCATTGCTGCCCACACCAACAACTGCACACTCATCCATGCAGTCACCTACTGCCCTCCCACACCAACAACATGCCACCAACACTGCCGCTCACACAGTCACCATCACACTGCCTTGTTGATACCAGACTCCACCCCAACCCTTCCACTGCCCAGCATCCTCCATCTTCCAACACTAGCTTTCATCTCCTATCCCTGCACCTCCACTGGTCCCACAACAGCTCTCCCCCAAACCCCACCCCATGGTTTCTCACATTGAACCCACTCACTCCAACCACTCTTATGCCTCCTTTATAAATCCCATACAGTTGCTACAAATACAAATTTATCTCTTTTCTGCAGTATACAGGTAATGTTGTTTACATGTAATAAAATATTGTTAGACACAAAAGAAAGCCAGTAACTAGCTTGCAGTGTCTTTCGGGCAGACTAATCCAATGCTTAAAGACTACTTAAGAATTAAACATGGGTTATTAAGCAGGAGTTTTTAAATGTACAAAAAGAGAGGTAGCTAAGTGAACAGTAGTAAAATTTTAAGTATACATTAATACTTCAAACTGATTCAGTGATCTTAATGAGTAGAAGAACCAAACAATAAAGTTCCTCTATCTGCTAGCAGAGATGTGGTAGTGAATGTGTTTTTCTCTTATGGGTCGTCCTGCCTTAGTGGGTAACAGCCAGTGCGTTAAAAAAAATAATTTTTCAGGGATCGTCGTGATGGTATGAGTAAAGAAGGTTCAGGACGAGTGGCCATCATGCGGGCTACTGGTCTTTTGCGTTCTTACACTCTGGAATGTAATTATAATACTGGTCGCACTTATAACCCAACGCCACCATCTCCACTTGACCATAGAAAAACCCCACAGAGTCCTCTGACGACCCCTCCCAAATATACCCCAGCTGTGTTTGAAGATGTAAGTATGTATCAAAAATATAACACTACCATTTTAATTATCACAAAAAAATTTAAGATTTACCCTATTTCTCTGATAATACAACCAGGAATGATTGGTCATGGTTTACAGTGTCCCAATAATTGAATCAGACTTAAAACCATAAAACAAGCCAGGTGTGTAGGGAAGGGGCCTTACCAGTCCTCAGGAAAATCTGCAAAAATTGAATATCACTATTTTGAGCCAAATTTCAAGCTACTTCTGGACCTGAAACCGACCAAAATCATCTCTTGTTTCAGTAACATGTCTTCCATTCTATCAAATGATATCAGAAAAAAAAACAGTAAAACCATAAACATCCTAGAAAACACCTTTTCCCATCATGCACTGAGTGGGGCAGGTTTTTTTATACTGTGCACACTCATCACACAGACCTATTCTCTCATATCTAGGTCAAAGTTTACCACTCACAACTTATCTGAGGGAGCTGATCTCAAAACATAGATCTACATGAGGGACCCTGGTGTCAACGACGTAGATCTGCGTGAGGGACTTTGATGTCAATGACGTAGATCTACATGAGGGACCTCGGTGTTAATGAAATAGATCTATATGAGGGGACCCTGGTGTCAGTGATGTAGATCTACATGAGGGACCTTGGTGTCATTGATGTAGATTTACGTGATGGACAGTGAAAGGGTAAATATTTAACCTCCCTAGGATATTTAATTTCCATTAAGCAATAAGCATTACCCTATGTGTTGAACATAGTTATCATAATTTAAAAAGTATTGGAAAAAGTATCAGTATCGACAAAATCTTTGGTTGGTGGTTTGTTGTTGTTACAGTATTATTATTACAATACAGCTTCTCCGTATTTACCGACGAAGTTCCATTCCTAAGACCACGTTGGCGAATGAATTCGTCGCTAATCGAGGAACCACTCCTTACTGATACTTCAAAAATGTCGCCACCCAAAATTAAAACATTTACTTTTATGTTTACTGTGAAAATCCTTTCAATCTGTTCATTATTAACTGTAATACAACATGAAATAGGTCAATAACTTACTTATGAGATATTCCAGGAAATGCGCGCATAAATGATTGCGTACTTGGGATTTTTTTTGTTGTTGTTGTTGTTGATCCTTCCCCGCCACCCACCCTTCAATACCTGTCCATATAATGTCAATTTTAATTAATTGGGCATCTTTATCATGCTTCTACATTATTTACGTTATACCTAATATTATTCTTGAATAAATATGATAGGTAGATAACCTTTATTGATAGTAATAGTACAATTATACAATATTCTATAGTGCCGAGAGGCACACCCCTCCACGTGTCATGAGCAATCATGAGTTACTGAGACTGCTTGCTTCTCTCTGCTTTAGCTAGCTCTGCCCACTTTGTAACGATACCAAATGGTGAATTAAATGCGTATATTAGAAAGAAAAAAGAAAAAGGAAACTCCAACTTGATAACTTTGTTTTAACCCTTTGACTGTTTCAGGCCCCTCTCTGAAACTGTCATTCTATGTCGCCAAATATTCGAAAAAAAAAAATTATTTTTTCTTATGAAAATGTTAGGAATATTTTTACTAGTGTTTTAAGCCTAAAAAAAATTTTTTGCCATCAGTACTTACCGAGATATAGAGCCGCAAAGTTTGCAGAAATTGACGTGCGTACGGCAACAGCGGCGACTGCCGCCCCACCCGGTATTCTTTTATTTACTCTAATTCAAAGGTTTCTTGCATTTTTCAATATTTTTCTTTTCCAGGTAACTTATGTGGCCTGTGAGCCAATGTAAGATGCATTGTTCAAATATACACTCATTGTTTTACAACACAATAACAGAACAAACTTTTATCACTATTAGTTGTGTATACACTTTGTTTACACAAACAAGCAATACAAAACAATGTTTATTACTTTTTGTTCCATAATATATATACATATGTACAGTCACAAAACCACGTTCTAGAACTGCTGCAGCTTGTGGAACTCTTTGAAACAGGGGTATATGCAGAGGGCACTTCACACTCCTCACACATAAAACGAGTGTCTCTGCGTGTTTGTGGGCGTTTGTGGTATGCATACATCATAACACCTCTTCTGAGCATTTTTCTTGGCAGTAGTAGGAGGCAGTTGTATGGGGTAGTGATCACCAGGCCTCAAACGAGATGACGTCTGTGGGCGTTGGTCTATTGCAGGAGTTGCTCCTTGGTACTTTGCAATTATTTGTCTGATTACTGACAGGCTAAATTCCCATATTTTGGTGTTTTGTTGGTCTTCAACTTGTATATGTTATAAGCATTTAGCATAGAGATATCAACAAGATGGAAAAAAGTTTGATATAACCACTTATAACTCTTGCGTACACAGTTGCAAACCCAATCTGCATGTCCACTTGTCCACTAAGCGCATATTGAGGTTGTAGTCCATGGACAGCTGCAGGCTTTAGAATGGGTTCATTGGTCTCTCTGTTGTCCCTGCCACTGGGTACCATTTTGTTCTGTGAAATGATGTCAACAATGTGACATCACGTTTGTCATGCCACCGAAATGCCATGATGTCTTGGCAGCAAAAAGGGTTGCACCTCACCTCTGCGAGTGCCAGCGTCGAACCTTGGCATATGTTTGCGATTACCACGCACTGTGCCACACACGTCTGTCAAGTTCACCGCAAGAAATCATGAGTAAGTGGCTTGTGTACCATTAACAGTAAATAACATATGCCCCTTTCCAAGATATGGTTCCATCATTGTTGAACCACATCACCAGAGATACCAATAACTTCATGGTATCTCTCAAAGTATTACTGCCAGTGTACACAATAATATCTAAAACAAGACCACTTCTGCAATCACACAGTACAAATAGCTTTATACCAAAGCGTTTCCTCTTGCTTGGTATATATTGCTTGGGAAAGAGAGTCTTCCTTTGATAAAATCAAGGACTCATCAATAACAAGCTTCCTGAAGGGATAAAAATACATGCAGCACTTTTGTTTCAGGTACATAAACACATTTCTTATATAACTGTCGCTTCTGTCAGGCCTGGTTTTGTCTGAAAAGTGTAACATACTAACAGTATCAGGAAACGATTTTACACCTTAATGTCACTAAAACCTGGGTTGAAATCAGGCGATCTGTTGTCCAGTATGTGGTGACAGTGTGCTTATACACGTGTGGCATAAGCATTATTGTGGCAAAAAACAGGTAACATCTCTGCCACAGTTGTCTCCTTCCACTTGGGTAGCCGTGTTTTGGTGAGGAATTGTATTTCCATGGTGTAATCAGAGTATGTGTTTGTTTCCCTGACAATGATGTCCATCAGGGGTTCATCGAAGAATAATCAAAGCAGTCCAGTTCACTGGCATTGTTCCCAGTTGGACAAGATGGCTTTATTCCCCCTTTGTGTTTCATCAAAGTCTTGGGGGCTGGGAACAAACTCGTCACCGTCCTGCCAATCCAGATGCGGTCTGCTGGTGGGTCTGGATATTGTACCGTGGTTGTGGTTGTGCAGGTTGTGGGGGTGCAGGTTGTGGTGGTGCAGGTTGTGGGAGTTTGGAGTAGGGGTGAGGCTGGTTGTTCTGCTGAGTCAGCCGCGTGGGAAGTAGCGTGGCCCGGTGATGGTGCCACATGGGCCGTGCCACCCTCACTATCACCACCACTGGGCCCCCTCCCTCACTGTCACCATTCATACCCATCGTTACAATATCGCATCTTCACTATCAGGTCGTGGTGTAGGGCCACGGGGTGTGCTCCCCGAGTTTCTCCTTCCCCTTGGAACAACAATGAAAACTACCAGACCGCATGCTACGTCGTACATACTGGCGCTTCACTGGGGAATATTCACTGTCACTGTCACTAGAACTGCTTTCAATGACCTTGAAATCACTATCACTGCTATCATCTGGGTGTTGTACACGACCAAATAGTTTCCTCTTTCGTCCTGGTACAGGCGAACGTGAACGTGAACAAGCCAGCACAGCACCAGAGGTCGAAGGTTGTGGGTCATCTGGGTTTTCGTCACTATTTACGTTATCCTGGGCACTTTTTTCGGTAACACTCACTTCAAAACCCTGGAATTCACTGTCACTGACATTTTCATCGCTCTTAGAGCTATCACTTGGGAATAAAAGACCTCCAATCCGCCGAGGAGTGAGGAACTTCTTACCGAGAGGCATGGTGAAAATGGACTGACAACATGGCGTTCCCACAATGCACCGCTGGGTCCCAGATTTTTTTCATAGGGTGCACACCGACTACTGAGACCCATTCTCTCCTGTGTAGGCCTACCAGGCCTTTGGCGCTTGATTTGAAGCCGCTAGAATTTGTGAGTATAAATACGTCAGAAACATTGGCTCGTAAGACGTATTTATACGTCGGAAACAGTCAAAGGGTTAATTTGCATAACTCTTACATATTACAGAAAACAGTAAAAAAGTAAAATACACATACAGTACACTCATTACTTGCCTTAAAATATTTGTAGTCCTAATGTAGGGTGAGAGGTGAGTATTTATTGTACAAAGGGGAAGAAGAAAAACAACAGAGAATGGAAGAAGTACAAAAGAAGCTCACAGTAAAAGGGTTATCTGGTATGTTCATCTGTGTGTTTACATTCTGTGTGTCTCATGGCATCTTAAGAAAAGATTAAACTCAGTGAACAAGGTATGTTGATGGTAATAATAATAATAATTACTCTGGAGCTTTAAATGTCATACATATTTCATATAGGCTTGGTAGCTGACATTTAACCCTTTGACTGTCGAAGGGCCCAATCCTGGTGTCTCCTGGTGTCGCAAAATATTCGAAAAAAAAAAAAAAAAATTTTTCTTATGAAAATGTTAAGATTATTTTTCTGATTGTTTTAGTCCCCCCCAAAAATTTTTCCCATCAGTACTTACCGAGATATAGAGTCCTGAACTTTGCTGAAATTGATCTGCTGGCGGCAACAGCGGCGACTGCCGCTCACCCGGTAAACTTTTATTTACTTGTATTCGATGGTTTCTT